ACTCATATTATTAGGTTCAAATCCCAGCTCTGCTACTTACTACCCGTATGACCTTGGGCAAGTCACACAACCTCTCTGTGCCTCAATTCCCTCAACCGGAAAGAGAAAGTAATAATAGCATCTCCCTCTTGGGTTATTGTGAGGATTACATTAATTAATGTATGTGAAAAGGGTAGATTGGTGCCTGACACCTAGTATATGCTGTAAAAATGTCTCCTATTATTAGCTCAAATAGGGGGGAAAAAAACCCTGAGGTTTAGAGAACACTTCTTTGGACCAATTCCGCCATTTTCCATGTGAGGGAACGAAACTTTGGAGAAGATAATTAAGCAGCTGAGCTAGGATCTGGTAGGTCTCTGGATTCCCAATCCATTTACCAGCCATTTCAATCTTCAGTAATTAATATAACCTCTCAGCCTCAGCTTATTCATTGCAGAATGGGACTAATTCTATTTCATTGGATGTTGGGATGCTGTGTGTAAAGGTGGCTCAGAAAATGAGTTGGTATGATGTCTCCAGTGCATTCTCAACAGGGGTAATAGCACCCCCCAAGAGGGCAGAAATTGGTTCTTGGCGGGTGAAAAATATCTTTTAGATATACAAAGCACAGACATATAGTATATAAGTTCATGAGAAATGGTGATTAGGAAACAAAATGTCTAAAAAAGGCTTGGGGAGCAATAGTTAAAAAGAAGTTGAGAGTTGAGAAATACTGCTCTTAACCAAGATTTTTCCAACTTGGGTTGTTACTCATAAGTGGATTATGAAATCAGCTTAATGGGTCATGATAAGCATTTGGGGAGGAAAAATGATAAAGGGGAACAATGATGTAGTACAATGATGTACATTGATCTACAATGTAGAACAATGATGTAAAGTCTCTCTTGAGGCTCACTGTAAAAAAAATGGTGCAAGCCATTTCTCTAAACCACAATTTTCTTTTTCTCCCCTCATTATTTATCTCTCAGACAAGCCCATGCAGCCTCGAACTATTTTACTCTGAACAGGAAGAACCTGATAAGGAAAGAAAGAAATGTAGAAGAGAGTGTCCAGATTCCAGTAAAACTAGGGCCTGACCTTTACCAGCTCATGGCCAAGGACTCTTCCCTTCCTCATTCTCTGTTCCAGGGTAAGCCACAGCTACGGAGGAAAATAACTGGCCCTCAGCACCAGAAGGACCTCCCCTCTTAGATTCCTCCCTCTTCCTCCCCTTTCCTCCCCTCCTCTGCTCCCAATGTGAAAGGCAGCAGTCATGTTGACGGAGTCTGAGTCCTAGCTCTGCCATTTACTCTGCAATCCCAGGACAAGTCATTTAATTTCTCTGATCCTCAGTCTTCTCAGCTATAAATGAGGAACTTATTTGTAAGATCGTTGTGGTGCTTAAATGAGAGAAGGTAGAGAAAGTATATTAGTATTTTAGTGCCTTGTATACTGAAGGTGCTCATGATAATAGCAGCTAACAGGCCCTGAATGCTGTGTGAAGAAGTTTATCCATGTTATCTCTATTTCGTCCTCTAAATGAGCTTACACAGGAGTAGGAAAGGTAACAGGGCAGACTCCAGTCAGGCTGCCTAGTTTCAAACCTCAGTTCAGTATCTTTTCACATGTTTAAGGGCTGCCTATAGTTCTTTCTTTCTGACTGCATTGTCTGCCTTTTAAAAAGGTGCTTTCCTCATAACCCCACATAATGTCTTCGGCTTACATCACATTGGCCAGACCTCTAACTACCAGGGAGGCTGGGAAATATAGTTTTTTAAGTAGGCACATTTCAGTCTCCAACAAAATGTAGAAAGTGATAAGGATGATACCGGTTAGGCAACCAGAGTCCTCATCTTCAACAGTCTTATCTCGCTCTTGATTTAACCTTGAATTTAATTTTCAAAGGCCTATCCAGAGGGGAGAAAATGGAGGAAACAAGTAAAACAGTTAACAGAGATAAGCTCTGAAAATGTCGCTGACGTGTCTAAATTGTAGTCAATAATGTTTCGTTTCTTTTTTTTTTCTTAACCATTCAGTTTCTTTAGGAAATGAATTTCCGAGTTTTCTATATCTGTTTAATATTAGAGAGACCAATACAGTCAGAAAATAGGGTTGAAAAAAATCCCACCTCATTAACTCCCTGACTGTGTAACCTTGGACAAGGTACCAAACCTCTCTGTGCCTCTGTTTTCTCATCTGTAAAATGGGTACAATAATAATCCCCATTAACAAAGTTGTTGTGAGGAAATGACTTGATATTTTTAAGCACTCGTATCAGTGTCTGGCCCATAGTAAATGCTATATAGTTAACATTTAATGAGCTGGCATTATTATTATCCCAACTTCACAGATGAAAGAATTGAGGCCCACAGAGACTGGCCAACCATCGCTCAGGGAATGGAAGAGCCTAAGATGGTTTAGCATTTAAAAAATTCCAGGGCATTCCCTAGCGGTCCAGTGGTTAAGACTCCGCACTTCCACACATTAGGAGAGTATGCCTTGAGGACGCGTACCTGTGCAAATGCCCATGATCCATATAAGGGCATTCCCAGCCCCTCAGAAGGCTCCCTGGGGTGTCCTCTCCGTCAATACCTCCCCCAAGTTAAATGCTGTTCCGATTTTTCACAGAAGATATTTTGCCTGTTTTGAACGTCGTCCAAATGGAGCCATACAGCATGTTTCTTTTATTATCCGTGGAGTCTGAATTTGAAGTCCAGATGGTCCCACCCTAGGAACTGCCGTCTTAACTATTATCCTGTACTGCCTTTTAAAGCAATGACTGCTTAGCTGCTATTTCCCCCACCTCCTCATCCGGTCCCCTCCTTCAGCTCCACCCCTGAATCCTAGCTGTGCTTCAGGCCATCAACGAAAGCTAATTAGTCAATTCTGTGTTAGAAGGTTACCCCCCCAATGTACCCCCCGGCCCCCCCCCCCGCAGGCACTCTCCAGGAAGCATATGATAGAGCACATGTTGTCAAGAAGTGGGCCAATGGGAAGATGGCATATTCCAAACCGTCCACCATTCCACCAATAGGAAGGTGATGTTCCTGCCCCCTCCAACTGCCTCTGTAGAGCTGCCTCCGCCTCATGCCCTTGAAGTTTGACGCTTTCCTTGTATCCTGAGAAGGTCCCCTCAAAGCTGCTTAAGGGGTGCAGGATGGCAGGCCCTGACTCCCTACATCTCTCCTGGGCTTTCCTCACACCTCCCCTCCCTGGAGTGGATGGGAGGGGAGGCTTTTCCAGACAAAAATAACATATATGTAAATATATATGTTTTCAGAGGTTTTCCCATGTTTTGTTTGTTTCTTTAATGGGATAATGCTTTGAGTTTTCTTTTTCTTTTTAAAGAAATATTATTTTTAAAATTTCAGTTATCTTTACAATTTGAACACCCCTCCTTCCTTTTTTTCTGAGTTCTGGGCACTGATGAGAACCACCAGCCTCCCTCTCTAGCCTCCACCTTGCCCCTCCGAGGTGAGGACCTAGGAGAGGAGAGAGGTGACACAAAGAGCTTGGGGTGGGGGGACAGAGGATGGGATGGGGTGAGTTAAGAAAGAGCAGGCACATACTTAAGAGCTGAAAGAGAAAGAGGGAATTTTAAGATGTGAGACGGACTGGGAGGTGTAGGCCAGCTTCAGGAATTACAGCGAAAATGAATAAAAGTGTAGGAAATGGATTGATAACCAAAAATTAGGATGTCCAATTGCTCTGGATGAGGCATATTTAAAGTGCATTAAGGATCTCGAAGAGATTGGGGAAGAGCTACGCCCGATGGCTTTTGATAGGTATGAAAGATGGATCCCATAGGCCTCGAGCTTTTGGGGTGAAGGGAGGGTCTGAGGGACACTGCGTTGAGGTGTCCTCACAGCCATCTTTTCTCACCTTCTCTACCCCAGACAGGCATGACCCTGCTCTTTGTACTGGGCTGCATCTTCTTCCCGCTGAGCTTTGCTCTCCTCTGCTGGGGTCTGCAGAATCACTCCAACCTGCGGATGGAGAGACCAGAGGCCGTTCTGGTGGCATCCAAGTAAGAGGACAGGGTGAGGGCATCCTTCCTGGGGCCAGGGCTGGTGGAGCTGATCTCCTACTTTCAGGAAGAGCTAGTGATAAGAGCAGAAGCAGACTATGTGTGTATGTGAGCGTGGGTGGGTGGGAGATACAGAATCAAAAGACACTGGCTATGGGATCTCTTGCAAGTCATTTAACCTCTCTGAACTTCAGAGCCCCCATGTAAACCCCATGGGTTTAATAAGAATACTCACCTTCCATTCTTCGTGGAGATGTTGTGTGCGGGTCAGGTGAATTCACGTCTGTAGAATAGGGGTAGGGAATTCCGGGGGCCCGGGTTCAATCCCTGGTCGGAGAACTAAGATCCCACAAGCCGTGTGGCCAAAATGAAATAAAATAAAATAGGGGTTGCAAACTCCCGCAAGTGACACAAGAGATGTAGGCTGTGTGGGGACTGTGTGAGCTGGAAGACTACTCTCATCCCATCCAGTGGGGGCAGCAGCTGCTCGGCTCCAGCCAGACATCATGGAGTTAAGAGTGTGGGCCCAATGTTGTCTGACCTTCTGATTTTTTTCTTAAAAGAAGTTGAGCTTTTATGTGAAATCTAATTTTTAAACACTGACAAATAACTTAGAATTTAAGAAAATACTATGCTGGCAACACCATACTGGCCAAACGAAACATGTTTATGGACTGGCCTGGGCCCTTGTGCTGCAAATCTATGGCCTATTTGACAACGATTAGTAATATACCTGTGAGTTATCACCAAACCTTAGGGAGGAGAGGGAGCCGGCAGAAGGCAGAACTTACTTGGGTGTCTGGAAGACAAAAAACCCATCTCTATCCGCTTTAATGCCCACTATCCGAAAAGCTCCTTCACCAGGTCTGCGGCCCTCCCCACAACTCAGCACCACCCTGCGGCCTTGTACACCTTTGGCTCTGGAGCTATGCAAACATGGGTTTGAAAGCCAGCTTTGCCAATTCTCATAGCTAGGTTATCTTGGGCAGGTTTTTTGTCTTTTTTTTTTTTTTTTTTTTGAATCTCTAAGCCTCAGGCTCCTGTCTATAAAACAAAGATACTACCATCTGGGAAGATTAAATAAGAATGAAATAAACCACTGCACCCCGTCCCCAGCACATAGTAAACACTCAGGAAGTTGGGTCCCTTTTCCCCTTAAGTGAAGCACTGAGATCAGGAAGCTAGGTCCACTATTGTCTCTAAAATTGTCCCTCACTCTCGCTGCCTAAGGCCAGGGTCTGTTCCCGCAGTCCGACACTAGAGGGCAGCACAAAATTGCAAATCCCAGTCCTTTGGGGAGGTGATGGCATGGGCTTCGGACAGGCAAAGGCAAATCGTAGGGTTACTGTTGAGGCGTATCTTAAGACAGGCTTGAAAACCAAAGCATGGCTTGGGTAGCAGGGCCCCACGTCATGCAGAAGTCTACAGGGCAGTTGGTTTCAGGACGAGAAGGCCAAATTCCAGGGAGGCAGCATGAAAGGGTGAGAAGCATCTCAGAGGCCAGTGTGGTTCTGGTGGGGCTTCTGACCTGCAGTGGGACCCTGGTCAAGTCACTGGACCTTGGTTTCCTTGCAGTGGAATGAAGGGCTTGAATCAGCCAATCCCCAGGGTCCTTTCCCACATGGAAACTGGGCTGTGAAGTTGCAGAGGAAGGGGAGCCAGGAGCATAATAAACCTGAAGAAAAAGAGAGTGACCAGGGCTTAGGGGAGGCCTGAAGGACACGGGCAGGGGCGTCATCGGGCTTGAAGTGGGTTTTCAGAGAAGCAGCACTTCCCCACCCTCTTCAAACCCTGCCACCTAGTGTGAGTGGCCTCTTGCGTTTTCTGAACTATGTGACCTTGGGGAGGGTCACTGAAGGCCTCAGGACCATTTCTTGACCTGTAAAAAGGGGACACATGTCGTTACCTCAGTGCTGTTACAATAGTTAGAGGAGATCATAGGACAGTCTTGTGGCGGCGTTGGGACCAGAGGCACCTCACGTATATATACCTCAGAGTTTCCCTCCCTCCCATTGGCGCGAAGGACGTGGGGGTCTCTGAGCCCAAAGGATACTGTGTTGAGGTGTTTTTATTCCCATCTGTTCCTTAAACTCATCCTTCAGAGACAGCAAGATGCACCAACTTCTCTCGCTCCCCCCTCCAGGGAATCCTCTTTCTCTCTGCCGGGGTGGGTGCCCCTAAGCTGGGACCCCAAGGCCGCTGAGGGACACGTGTTGAGAGGCCTTGGCAGAGGAGGAAATGGCAGGCATTTGCAAAGTACTGGTGGGAAACGGGGTCAGGCCCATCTGGGGGCCCAGGGCCTCCTCCCAGCTGGCCAAGGAGCCCCAGGCCACCTCCCTCCCCAAGAGGAGAGACGACCCTCCCCTGGCCCTCCCAGGCCGACCCTCCCAGGCAGGCCCCTGTGCCTGCCGCAGCGGCTGTCTCTTTAAGGGCCTCCCCCTCCCTCTTTCTCCGCTTCCCCCCACCTCTGTCGCAGCCGCTGCTGTGGTTCAGAGCTGCATGGGGAGATGCTGCTGCAGGTCCGGTTTCTTGGTGTCTGGTCGGTGCCATCATTTCCCTCCCCCTCCCCCGCCCTCCCCAAGCCAGTGACTTCCCGTCCCCCTCCCCCTCCCCACCGAGGGGGCAGGGGGCTGGGCACGAACTCTCCATAATGCCCCGTACAGCCTCCCGGCCGGGCCGCGGGCACTGTGGCGGCAGCGAGAGGCGGGAGAGCCGTGCTGACCGCTGACCACTTGCCCGGCTGCTCCTCTGTCTCCCCTCCCTCCCTTTCAGAGCTGGCACCACAGTCCCACCCCCCACCTCCCACCCCGCCTCCTCGGGCCCTCCCAGCCTTTCCACGTAAGCCCACCCCCACCTGCCTCTCTCCCTCCCCTCCCCCATCCGCATCCTCCTCGTCCTGTACCCCCTCCCTCTGTCCTCTCACCCGGTCCTCCCCTCCTCGGCTCTCTCCCAGCCCTCTGGCTGGCTTTCTCCTGCTCCCTTTCTCGGGTCCTCCCTGTCCCCGGTCTCTCCCCATTTCCCCAGTCTCATCTAACTCCCTTTCTCGGGTCCTCTGGTCTGACTCGACAGCCCCATCCCGTCCCTGCCCTGTCCCCTTTGTGCCCCTTTCTCTTTCTCTCTCTCCTTCCCCGGCTTGGCGTCCCTTCTCCACCTCTAACTCCCTTCAGCTCGGCCTCCCTGTCCCTTCTCGGCCGCTCGCTCGGCTCCCTGCCCGAGGCCTGAGCACCATGCTGACCCCAATGGTGGCTGGAGGGGTGGTGTTCCCCGGACTCTTCCTGCTCTCCAAGAACACGCTCCAGCGGCTGCCCCAGCTGCGCTGGGGGGAGGCCGACGCGGTCATTGTCTCAGCCAGGTAAACTGCATCCCTTCCCCGCCGCCCCAGGCTCTTTGGGGATGGAAGGGACCCTTGGCCCGGTGGGGACTGGGGGCTCCTGAAGTGGTCGGTGGGCTCTACCTCCAAGCTTCCCTCTCTCCTCACTGCCTTACTCGCTGTCCCGGGAGACCGCATCCAAGCCCAGCCATCTGGTCTACTAGTATTCAGACTGCTCTCCCTCCCTTTCCCATTCACCCTCCCACCCTCCAAAACAGGTCCGGCCTGTGACTAAAACATCCCTATAGGATATTAGAGAGCAAGGCAAGGGGCACAGAGCTGTGTATTATTCGGGGCATGTGTTTGGGGGAATGAGGGACAGAGGAGTGAACAGTGGAACTCTGCACACCCTGGAATCCGGGCCAGAGTTGGGGAGGGGAGCGTGGTGGCACGCAATGAGAGAGCGGGAAAGTGACCAGGGGGAATCAGAGGCAACCGAGGGGCCATGGGATAACCGGCACCATGACTGGGCAGCTGATGGTGCCAGAACAGGCCCACGGGCTTCCCCCTGCCATCCTGTGCTTGGCCCCCCCACTTCCCTGGAAGGGACACCTTGTCATCAGCCCCTCGTGCTCAGCAGCTTCTCACCTCACGATGACCTCCCTGGTGTCCTCCTGAGAGGAAGGCAACTCAGTGTCCAGTGAGGAAAGGGTGAACCGAGGAGTAGCAGCCGGGCCAGTCCAGGAGCCTGAGGTGGTATGGCTGAGTCCCGGGCAAGGCAGCCTTGGGGAAAGATGGGCAGGGAGCACCCAAGAAGTGCAGAAACCGGTCAGTAAGGAGGAGAAACCGAGGGGCGCGTCTCCTCCCTCTACTGCTGCTCCCTCTTCCTCCCTAGGCTAGTGTCCTCTGTCCAAGCCGTCATGGCCTCCACAGCTGGCTACATCGTCTCCACCTCCTGCAAGCACATCATAGATGACCAGTAAGTGCCATGAGACCGCCTTAGCCCCCGTTCCAGCAGCCTGTGTGTATGTGTGACCCCTGAGTACCCCAGATCATCTAGGGGACTCCTTCAGTGGTCCCCAAGCCCTTAACTTGAGCCTGAGCAAGTCAACTGCAGTAGCTGCAACTCAACACCCAGGGATAAATTTATCCACATCCTGTCCTTAAAGGTCAGAACCAGGAGGAGAGGGAGCGGGGAGCAAAAAGGATTCTCAAAGCAGCTCCTAGGCTTCCCGGCCTCTCGGATCATAGTAGGTTCTGAAGGTTGTTTCCTCCCGTACCTCCTCCCACCGTTTCACCCCTCGGACCCCATTTCCAATCAGCACCCAACTGGGGTGCTTCTCTACTCATGTCGGGCTCACCCCTCCCCTCCTCCCAGAATCCAGGTGTCCAGCCCCAGCTCTATGCATGAGAGGGACAGATGACACAAACAAGGCCACCAATGGTGAGGCAGTGGGGTGGAGAGTGGAGGGTGAAGAGGCCAAACTTTGGCACTGGGAGCTGCTGCAGTGCCTGGTGCTTGCCAAAACCCCAGGCCTGAGAGGTAGAGCAGGAGGAGGGAGGAGAGGGGCCCTGTCCGTGGTGCTGACGGGCAGCTCTAGGTTGACCCACGGGCCGCCACCGCAGAGTTGCCGGTGAGGGTGCTGATGACGCCCCACGCTTAACTTCGGGTCCTGTTCCCTCCTCTGGTGGCTGCTGAGCTCCAGGGACATTGTCTGGATGCCCCAACCTAGAGACATTCCCTGTCTCCCTCGAGTTCCTTCATCTGTGGACTGAGGTCCATCCCTCCCTGGAAGGGCTGCTGCGAGGAGGAATTGACTTGTGTGTGTCTAACGCCTAGAGCAGTTCTGGCCACACAGAGTGGATGCTAAACTCTTTCTTCAGACCCCCACCCCGGGGACTTGGCTTCCTCTTGTCCTCTCCCCCCATTCCCACCCCTGGGTCCAAGATGAGCCTGGATCCCCACACATTCCCTTCTCTCGCCTTCTTACAGAGGTCACTTTTCAGTTCTTACATTTTCTCCCCCGCCCCACCCAGTCTGTTCTTGTCCCTCCCCGCTTAATCCTCAGGTGGGTGGGAAGGATCAGGGTTAATCCAGGGGCAACAGCTGTTCCTACCTCTGAGCACCTAATTGCTGAAGAGGGTGGGAATGGGTTTAACCCTGCACACTGGAGCCCAGGGCCTGGAGGTCCTGGAGCCCCACAAGCTAGTGGTGTCACCGTGTCTGCTGTGGCTGACTCTCCAGGCCACTCTCTGCTCTAACCTCTCTTGGGCCAGTGGGACCCCTTTCCACCTTCCTGCCCTTCGTCTCTAACCTGGGCTACTGCTTCCTCTCCTCTCTCTCTCCCTCCTCGTCACACACTCCAGCATGGGTCTCTGCTTCTCTTTTCCTGACATCATCCCTGCTAGAGTGGGCTGCCTGTCCCCTTCCAGGCCAGCCTTCCCCAGGGTTCACCTTCTGTTTCCATCTCACCCCTGGTCCTCAGCTGCCCTGCCCTCAGGTCTCACTCCACTTCTCCCTTCAGCAGCTGCTCTTATTTTGTCCTCATATTTGCGTCCCCTCTGGCTGACTTTGCTTTCATCCCTCCACCGAGCTGGGCGAGTTCCCCTGGGCCTGCCTCTTCGACCTCCCACCCCACCTCGGACCTGTCACAGGACTACAGATTTAAGAGAAGGTGCTTCAAGTGCTGACTCGAGAAGAAAAATGCAATGTTGCGTATTCATGCACTTTTCATTTTTGTTTACTCACTAAGTGCATGGAACTTTCTCTGCTCTTGACTCCTTTTGCTCAGCGTTTTCTCCATAATGCTTGGCTGTACCTGAAAAAACAAGAGATGGGGCCACATTCAAGCAGAGCAAGCACCGCTGACAGCACCACCAACTCCCCAGTGCGGCCTGTCTGTGACCCCTGTCTCGAATCTTCTAGGGGACAGCAGGGCTGAGAGGGAGAGCTGTGGAGCCAGACTTCTCATGTTTATTCCTTGGTCAGGTTACCTAGCCTCTCTCACCTGTAAAATGGGGTGACAACCATACCTACTTTTTATAGGCTTTCTGTGGGGAGTAAATACGTTTGTGCATGTAAAAGATTTAGAATATTAGAATAGTGCCCGCATGTAATAAGCAGTCAATTGATGTCAGCCAATATGCTCTCTCCCCACCACTCCCAGAATTACTCTTCTGCTGTAATTCGTCCTGATCTCAGCTGTTTCTCAGATCTGGTCTGGCTTGTTTGCTCACTCTATCTCGGCCCTCAGGTCTGTGGCTGTCTTCTGGTCTCTCTTCCTTTTTCTCCCACCATATTGCAGAGAGAGAGAGAGAGAGAGAGAGAGGGAGAGAGAAAGAATATGAATGAATGAATATGAATCCTGGGTGGGTCCTCAGGTCAGTCGGTGTTTGAATCCCAGCCCTACTACTTACCAGCTGTGTGATAGTGTGACCTTGGGCAAATTTTTCACCCTCTACCCTTGTAACTTGACAGTCCACTTCCGTCTCAGGGTTGTTACGAATATCACCTGAGATCTGACTCCCGCGATGCATCCAGCATGGGCCCCGGCACCTGGCAACTACCCTGCCCATCCCCTTTCCTCCTTGACCCCCCTTTCTCTCTGCCCGACAGACACTGGCTTTCCTCTGCCTACACGCAATTTGCGGTGCCCTACTTCATCTATGACATCTACGCCATGTTCCTCTGTCACTGGCACAAGCACCAGGTCAAGGGGCACGGAGGGGACGAAGCGGGGACCAGAGCCCCGGGCAGCACCTGGGCCGCGGCACGCGGCTACCTGCACAAGGAGTTCCTCATGGTGCTCCACCATGCCGTCATGGTGCTCGTGTGCTTCCCACTGTCCGTGGTGAGTGGGGCCGCTGAGAGCCAGGGCCCCGTGTCCTGCTCATGCCAGCACTGCAGGAGCCTAGGAAGCCCTGGGTCCAGGTCCCAGCAGCAGGGCAGGCCCAGGATGGAGGGCCCCATGGAGGGGTTAATGAGCTCCAGCCCAGCCCCAAACAGCAAGAGGGTGGATCGCACCCAGCTGTGGCGCTTTGGAGCTGTGGTTACACACCACTGCCTCTGAGACTCAGTTTCCTCATCTGTAGTATCAGGAATACCATCTCACCTGCAGGATGGTTGGAGGGATACGGTGAGTTAGCGCTCCCAGCTTAGCTACCGTTCACCTGTGCTCAGACTTTCAGAGTGAAGCATCCCCAAAAGTGACGGGGGTGGGGGCGCAGGTGCTGCCCAGGAACCCAGGCTCAGGGCAGGCTGTTTCCTTCCGCTCCTCTCAGGTGTGGCGTCAAGGCAAGGGAGATTTCTTTCTAGGCTGCTTGCTGATGGCAGAGGTCAGCACCCCCTTCGTCTGCCTTGGCAAGATCCTCATCCAGGTGAGAGGGGCGCTGAGGGTTCTGAGCGTGACAGGAGGACCGGGTAAGGGCGGGCACTTTTAGGGACCGATTGGAGATGCTTTAAAGGACAGGTGAAGAGTCGGGGCTATAAGGCGGGGTATAGGGGAGGCGTCAGGGCGGAGGGGGGCGGGTGGAGGGGAGCGGGGCCTGGGGCCCCTAACGTGGCCCCTGTCCGAGGAAGGCGAGGCAGGGAGGTGGGCCGAGGGGGGAGGTGGCCGGGGGGCGTGGCCGGGGCGTGGCCGGAGGCGCCCCGCCCCTCACCCCGCCCCTGTCTGCCCGCCCCGCCCGCAGTACAAGCAGCAGCACACGCTGCTGCACAAGGTGAACGGGGCCCTGATGCTGCTCAGCTTCCTCTGCTGCCGGGTGCTGCTCTTCCCCTACCTGTACTGGGCCTACGGGCGGCACGCGGGCCTGCCCCTGCTCGCCGTGCCGCTCGCCATCCCGGCGCACGTCAACCTGGGCGCCGCGCTGCTCCTAGCCCCGCAGCTCTACTGGTTCTTCCTCATCTGCCGCGGGGCCTGCCGCCTCTTCCGGCCCCGGGGCTCCCGGCCGCCCTCCCCCTGTCAGACCCAGGACTGAGGGTGGGGCCGGGGGCCCTCCCCACCCCACCCCTACGCCGTGGGGACAGGGCTCTGGGGCTGCTGGGTGGGGGGAGGAGCCAGTGGCCTCTTGCCCTGACAGCCCCCGGGAACTGACAGATGGACTCCGAAGGGGTGGGGACACGTCCCCTCAGGGGCTGAGGGCTGGGACCGGGTGAGTTGGAAGGCAGGGAGAGGGGACCTCTCCCTACAGTGCCTGAACCGAGGGTCGACCCCCTCCTGCCTAGCCCCTGTCTCCATCACCTCCCCTGGGCCCTGGAGAAGCGAAGGAAGAGGAAGAAGACGCACCCCTTCTCAACCGCTTAGGGCTCAAGGCTGTGGGGAGCCTGAGGGGACCAGGACTCACAGAATTGTCGGGGAGGCCCTGCTGCCAAGGCCATGCCAGCCCCCCTGCTGCAAACTCCTCTCAACTCCCTGTCACCTGGGAGGGAGGGGACACCCTATCTAATGCCCGTGGGCTCGCTCAGGGCTGGCCGTCCCCACTGCTCCTCTCCAGGGGAGGCCAGCCTGAGGAATCTTATTTATTTTATTAATTCGTCCAAATGCAAACTCGTTTGTGGGTGTCAGGGGAGGGAGGTGGTTGCTACCCCCCAGCCTTCCCAGTGCTGAGCAACCCCGGGGGCAGGTGTGGGGCCCCCTGGTCCCTTCCCCATTAGGCTGCACATCTTGCCCTCGGGCCCTGGCATGTCCCTGGTGCTACAGACCTCTCAAGGCTTCCTCCAGTCTGGGGTCGGGGGACCCTGGGAGGTGCTTTACAGACCGCTAATAAAGAGGATCTGCGTGAACGCCACCAAGGCCCTCGTCACCCAGTTCTTTGGGGCTGGGAAGGGAGCAGGCGCCTGGGGATAGAAAGTACGATGACTGGTTGACCGCAGGATGGGGCAGGACGCCCGGGCTGGGTCGCTGAGCAGTCAGGGAGAAGGACTTTCATTCATCAGCAGGAGAGGAGAGCGGGTATGGGCACTCAGGGCAGAGTCCAGGGCCCTCGTCCGGCTTTTTAGGCCCCTTTCTCACAGCTCCTATGGGGTGTGGAGATCAGAGGTGGGAGGTCACGCCACCGCCGCCTCCCTGGGCTTTGGGTCCTTCAGCCTCTCCCAAGGAAGGTTGAGGTGGGCGGGGCTTGGGGAGGGGGGACAGGCCTTACATGTGTGTGCAGAACTGGAAAAGCAGGAAGATGAAGGCCACCACCAGAGCGCCCACCAGGATATGATGGAAGAGCCTGGAGTCGGAACCTGCTAGACAGTGAGGTTGAGACAGGGGCCCTGGACTCACCTCCAACCGAAGGGCCAAGGGCAGCTGTCCTCCAGGCCCCGTCAAGGAGGGCAGCCCCTTCTCAAGCTGGGTCATACCTGAGTTAACAAAGATGACAGGTCTCTCTCCAATGAACTGGGCCAGGGCCAGGAGCCTGGCTTGGTCCGAGTCTGGGTAATCAAAGAAGTCAGGTCTGTCTAGGAAGAGTGGAGACTCTGCTCCCCGGGCCAAGGCCTTGGCATTCGCCAGGATGGGTGCTGGGGACCCAGAGCAAAGTCTATGAAGAGCCAAACAGACCCGTGCCCCCCACCCAAGAGGCTGAGGCAGACCCAGGGCCTGGCCAGGCCACAGAGCCCTAGTACAGCTGTGGAGGGCCTTGATTTTGTTCCAGGAACTTCTTGAAGGTCAGCTGAGCTCTCCATGAGAGGACCCACGCCAAGCAGGGAGGATGGGAGAGAAGCATGGAGAGCAAAGAGAAAAGCCCAGGCTTGGCCTCCCAGCCTCTCAGGGGCAGGAACCCCACACCCCAGCCTTCCTCCTTCCCACTGTTCCCAGGACAGCTTCCCACCTGATTCTACGGTCCCCAGCCCAGCCAGCCACATCCACACCTGTGCCCACTGCCACGGCCTCATCACCCTTCCACTCCAGTGATGGGGTGAGGGCTCTGTGATGTCACCGCCCAGAGCCATTCTGATCACACACTCTAGGGTGAGGGGAGAGAGAAAGTGCTAGGATCTGGAATCCTTCCCCCCAAGCCTCTGAATCCAAAGGGAAGGGATTGGGACCCACAGAGCCTTTGGGCTGATGCTGATGATAGAACAATAACAGTGGAAGCCCCAGGATTTACAGATAGGGGGACTTGGTCGGGCAATCTTGCTGAAAGCTGGGACTAAGGAGAGCTGCATTCGTATAGCAGGCATAGTGGATTTGCGGGGGGAGGGGGGACAGGCCTAAACATCTCCACTTACCCCTTGGATTGACCACAGATAGCATTTATTGAGCACTTGCTACTATGCCAAGTACTTTAAATGGACTGACTCATTGAACCATCATAAAATCCTATGAGGTGGGTACTGCTGCCCTCAACTTATAGAAGAGGGAGACAAGGCATAGATGGGCAAAGTGATGTGGGCAACACACACTTCCCAATGGCATGTATCCTCCTCCCCTGAGCCTACCCCCTGCCTCGTGTCCTCAAATGCAGGGGCACAGGGGTCTCCCCCATGCCCAAACTCTGTCTCGTAGTGCTCAGCTGAGGACAACCCTGGGGTTAGCAACCTAGACAAATAACAGACATTTCCACTAGGTGGCAGCAGTGTCCATGCCTGCCTGCTTGTTTCCCTGTTCTTGCCCAAGGAAGGCACAGCTCCCAGGCTCCAGGCCCTCCCGCCTCATCCCATCAGGCTGTATCAGGTGCTGCAGGGAAAGGTATTGCAGGCATGGGCGTTGTCAGAGGAAGTCCCCCGGCCCATCTCGGGGCAGGTCTCTTGGTCATGCACAGAGCCTTCACAGGCTACCCCTCTCTGGGTGGGCTCCCCCAAGGGCCATCCCATTTACCC